ATTCATAACGATCGCTACGGACTTCCCAAGCTAAGTCCCGTGGTTGAATACAACTGTTAAATTTCTCCCTGCAAAAGGGATTAACATATTCTCTAAAGGCATCTTGGAAGGCTTGATCATAAAACCAAGAATACCTCATAAACACAGACGTTCCCCACTCCAAGTCTGCCCGAGTCTTGCAAACTCTAAAAAAATAAAAGCAGGCAAACGTTGAATGGTTTGTGGAATAAGCTTTAGCTAGAATTCGGGCATGAGCCACACCCTCTGGAAACTCCAAGTTAGCTGCCCGAAACTTTGGAAAATACCATTGTAACCATGATAGGGTTTATACAGATGTCTTCGAAAGATAAGAAAAATAAATCACATCATTAAAAAAAAAAACTACTAGGACTTGGCGACAGCAAGATTTCTCCCTTCACATCAACCTTAGCGGTCCAGCTGTTGGAGGAAACCTTCACGTGAAGGCAGGTTTGGTCAACAGGCATGATCTCTCATACTTTGATACTTTTGCATGTTCTCCGGGTGGGTTTTTCAAAATGGGAACATGCATGATGAAAGGTCAGTATACAGCACGAGATCTAAAAACCAGCTGGTGTACTTCAGCTGTAAAAGGTCAGTATACTTATCCAAGTGCTTTCTTCTTTCCTCTTTTTCCTTTATTCCACTTTCGCTTTCTCAGAAAATGATTTCACATGGCTACCACCCTGCAAAGAAGATGTAGGGGATGGGTCATTGATCTCATCCAGTAGGGTCTGCAGCATACAGAGCATCTTTGATATGCACTAACTTCCATGCAATTTGTCGAGGTACTAGGGCTGGCCATGGGGCGGGAATTGGGTTCTCTGATGACGGCAGTGTGCGGCAGAGAGATTTGGCGAAATCAAACCGTGGAGAGAGAGAGAGTTCGATCTTGCTGCAAAATCGAAGCATGCAAAGCTGCCATATTGATGAAGAAGTCGAGCGATTGCTCGTGTATCCAAATAAATCCCAATCACATTGCTACAAGCCGAGAAGGAATCTAAAAATGGGGCGGTTGGCGTACTTGTACGACAAGAGTTGTAGTCTAAGAGCCTCCATGTCCAACAAGCCATCCCCGTCTAAACCGATCTCGATCACTTGAGCTAAGCTTTGCCGCCACAAGAGGAGGTTCGAGTGGTGCTCGTAAGGGCCGACGAAAACCAACCACCTCTCTTCCATGCCTATTAAATCACTACCCAGTATTTTATCTCTTAGGGTTGATGGCACGGCAATCCCCATCATTTCTTGGAGCATTTTGATTGCTAAAGTGGTGCCTTAGCCGCACAGCAAGAGTGTATCATCTGTTCCAACCCCTAAGCATTTCTTCAAGTACTTGACTGCTTCTCCCACCATTTTTGTCATTCGGTTTCTGACGAAGCTGTCACAAGTGTGAGTATTCCCGTAAACGGGAAGGACATTTTTGACGATGAAGTTTTTAATATAGAGAATAGAGCGTCCAGAGGCAGTGTGATCGGCGTACGTGAGTCTTCGTCTCCGAAAGGAGAATCAAATTCTGCAGCAGCACCGATGACTTGAGAGTGTAGACAAGACAACCTTAGCTGCGCGGACTCATTCTTTGGCACCTCCAAGTGTAGACAAGACAGCCTTAGCTGCAGCGGCACCGATGACTTGAGAGCGTAGACAAGACAGACTACTGGTTGATCTGTTTCTGGCAAGGTGGGAGAAAACAGGACAAGCCAAACTCCCTAAACATTTCCTTCATAAGGGTTTTGATTTTGTGGTCATTGTAGTCATAGTAGTGGTGATCTGTGGCTAATGAGGAGGAAGTGTAGAGAGGAAGATGAGGAGAAGGGGCATTGGGCGGCTCTCTGTAGTCGGTGAAGGTGCCTTGGGAGTTACCCATCTTGATGCAGATCTCAATGACTAAAAAGCACCCAACCCCAGAAACAAGAGAGAGAGAGAGAAAGAGAGAGAAAGAGGCCCAAAGAAAAGAGCACAATAAAAAAGTGAAAGCTGCTTTGCTTGCACGATGGGAGAGAATTTCCCAATGAATGTGGGGTTGGAGCGAGAAAGAGATGGGCTATCTTGGTTTTGCAGATCCACGGTAGACAGTGGTGAAATTTGATGAAAAAGTGAAAGAGAACCGACATAGTTTTTTGTGTCGATTTCCCACAGACGGCTCCAAATGTTGATGCACAAAACCGGAGGGGTCTTGGAACAACTTAAATCCGATTGTGAATCTGCAAGAAAGTAAAGAACACAAGATGTATCGTGGTTCACCCCAATGTTTGGGCTACGTCCACACTGATATTGTATTTCTCTGTTTGTGAGATGATGAAATGGTGAAAGCTTCTGAGGGTGAGAGAGCTCTTCCCATGGCCTAAGAATTGGCCTCCCTTAATGAGGAGAGTGAGGGGTCCTTTTATAGAATAAAGGCTCCTCACTTATTACATATTTGCCCATTCATTTATTACATAATTACATTTGAGTCCCCCGAGTATTTATACGAGATCTAAATACGGAGACCCTAAGTATGGTACAAACACATCTAAATAAAGAGTGCGTTGCAGTTATTCTATGTGTCTAAATAACATTATCGTTAATTAATTTTATTTCCTATGCTATTTGATAAGCAACTCAATTAAAACAATAGGAATGATTTGCTATGTAGTTTGCATGACAAGTTTATAGAGTCTCATTATCTTTATCACTTCGGTGACTAATTAAGATTTCATAATCCTCTACCTTTAAGTTTATATCAACGAATGTACTTTTAAAATTTTAATGTTCTCTTATCACCTCTATAAGAAATAGCACAACATCAAACAATAACTGTTCTTAGTCTTTAACTAATGTTTCTCTTTGTTTTTCTCTTTAGTTAATATGAGCATGGATGGCTGACCGCATTGTACTGACGCAAGATTTGGTATAATTATTAATCTCATTGGTCTATTTTACTTGCACTGTATGAATAAGCGTTTGTCTAACTTTCATTTATAAAGTATGGATGCGGAGTATTTTGTTCGAAACTTTGTACCATATTAGTTGTTGATGCACAAAACTGATCGGTTGAATTTTGAACCAATTTAGATCTGACCTTAAATCACACAAATACAAAGAATACAAAGAAGTATCGTTGTTCACCTTGGATTGGAGCTACGTTAACATTGGTGCAGTTCCAATTTCACTACGTAAATTAATGTGGGTTACAATGTACATAAATGTCTATTGCATTTGAAATAGTAGAGAGGCTAGGGTTTCGTCTCTCTAATATAAGGTGAGGAGTCACTTCTATAGGATAGGGGATCCCCTCTTACATACTTAGTGCACTAAGTAGTGGGCCCAAACTATGCTACAACATGGTTATTGTTATACATGAGGAATGTACATATATTTAGGCTTGTTGCTTTCAGTTGATTATTTTGAAAGCAAATAGATTTTATAATGAATTTTATTAGAGTTGTAATTCTAAAGAGTAATGTTATTCATACCATGTTTTTGTACCATATTTTCATACCATCTTAGGTGACATTTGATGTGGACAACCATATCATTTGAATTAATCAGATTTTTTTTTTAATTTAGTTCATTATTTAATAAACTAATAATTAAGAAAAACTAGTTAAGTAAATGATGATTGTGGTATACGATGAGTCTTTCTTATTCCTTTCCTTGGGTTTTGCAAATTTTTCAAATGATGTGGTTGTCCACATCAGATGTCACCTAAGATGGTATAGAAATATGGTATAAAAATGTGGTATGAATAACATTACTCAATTTTAAAAGGGTAAGGAATTAACATTCCCTACTACTATAAATAAATGTGCACTAATGGAATAATACACATCCACAATTACATATATTTCTCTTTCTCTCTACTATTGCCGCACTCCTCTTTCTATTGCCTCCATAATTGTTTATTAAATTATGCCTACAACATCTTTATCTTTTATCTTTCTTTCTTCTTTTTTTTCTCGTGTGAGCAAGACAGCAATGTTACACCTCTATTTTCTTATGTGTAGGTTAAAAGCTGAATGGTTAAGAAAATATTTTTTGTCTTAACAAAAGGAAATGGCCATGTGCTTGATAGTTGATACTATATTAATTAATTCGTTTCTAGACTTCTCCATACACACATAAGAAATAGTATTTTACTATTTAGTAACAATATTGATATATTTGTTTACGTACCATCTAATACAAGTGAGCATGAGCGCATCCACATAGAGACCAGTGTGGTTCCGAGACCTAATGAAGCCTATGAAACAAGTTTGTGAAGGTCCTCCGAGAATGATCCGAACCAGTATGAGATGTTTTTTGTGCCGACTAACTATTTGATGAAATGTATATTCGACATCACACATAGAAAGAGTCGACAAAACTAGGCAAGAAGTCTCAACAACACTCGACAATTGACAGGTGCGCATCATGGCTTGCAACCAAGTACCCGATGAAGTGCCTTATTGGAAAAAGTTTGAGCGCTTTTGTGTGCTATTTCTATCTAAAAAACCTTGCACATCGAGGACCCCCACCCCCCAAAAAAAATTCTAAATCCGTCATTGCAAGTGCATTCTGCATACGATAAGTAGGAAACGTACACATCTAATAGAAAACGAATTGCAGTTATTTTTATGTAACTATGTTATATGATACACAACTCAATTAAAACAATAAGATTGATTTACTATATAATTTGCATGACAAGTTTTTAGTCTTGTTCTCTTTATCACTTGAATGACTAATTAAGATTTCATAGGCCTTTACCTTTAAATTTTATATCAACCAATCTACTTTTAATGTTCCTTGATCACCTCTATGAGAAATAGCACACCATCACAAACAATAGACAAGACTACATTCTCGATTTACTGCAAATTTGAGCCTCAGGCCCATTTATAGTTGAAAACATAGCTTGGGCTTTGAGTGGACCGTATAATTGCTTAATGGCTGTGGCCCAAACGATGTTGGTTTTGGGCCAACCCAACCGATCTGATGAGATACAAACCAGACCAAACCAAACCAAACCAAACCAAATCATATCGGAGAGAGAGATACTTTTCTTCCTTTCTTATATGCTTTACTTGGTGATTAAGCCTTTTAAGCCTTAAGGCAGCTGCAAAATCAGAAGGAGGAGTAGAGCAAGTAACAGCGAAGCAAGCAAAAGCAGAGGAATTGGAGGCGAAGATGGCGTTGCAGTGGATGATATTGACGTACGTCGTGGCGGCAGAGGCGGCGTTGGCCTTCCTCCTAACCATTCCGGCGCCCAAGCTGTTGAAGAATCGATTCGTGTCGCTGGTCTCTCTAATCCTCCAACCCGCCCTCTTCATCGTCCCCTTCGCCGGATTTCAGCTCCTGGGTTCGTTTCCTTTCTCGATTTCGTTCCCGTTTCCGCTCCAATCACACTGATATTGTCCTTATTTGTAATTATTTCTGCGATCTGGCCTCTCAATTGAAATGGGGTTTCGAATTTCTCGTTCAGGGCATTATATAGCTTTGGATTTCCCAATTTATCTTCTTTTTTTTTGTTTGATTTTTGGTAACAATGGGTTCCCTTTGATGTTTGATTTTGCAATTGTTTCGTTTGTTTGTGTGTAGATATATACTGGAAGAATGAGCACCGGTTGGCCTGCACCTCTGATATCTGCACCGCCTCTGAGCGTGACCGCTATGAGAAATCGGTCAGTTTCCCATTACTCTCTCTCTCTCTCCGTGGTTTTCATTGCTTTTAAAGTTCCAATATTTGATCAAATTGATCAGATGATGCCTTCTGGTCTTGAACTTGATCAACCAGCTAAATTAACTTATTGAAGTAGAAATCTTGTAACAAAAAGGAAAATTACATTTTGATCTCCCCATTCACTAATGCTGCTTGGCAGCTTTATTATAATTAACATTTTAATTTAGGGACCTTCGAGATCATCACATATTCGTGCTTAGTTTTACTCAAAATCAAAATGCTCAATAATGCATATCTGTTTCTTAAATTAGTCCTCCGAATACACATATGTTGGGAATTAAATTGTTAGGTTGTTTTGGAATAGGATGGTATCTTGAATCCTGCTTCTTTATCATTTGTTGGACTTTCTTTGTTTGTGGGAATTTGTGGATGAGGGGGGAAGAAGGGGTTATGCTTTTGGAAATATTCTAGTACGAGATATCTCTACATTTGGGCTGTACATTTCATGAAAAATTCGATATGTGGTCCAATTCTTGCGTTGCAAGTTGTTGCACATTCAGCTTTGGGATGTCTTAGAGAGATTGAGAATAGATATGTCCATGCAAATGAGTGTTTGACAATTTCTCATCATAATGCTCGCTTCTAAAACGACACTCGCCATTGTTTTGGATTTCTAGGTATCAAGATACAAAGGTTTGAAAGCCAAGTTCATCATCCTTCTTTTTTCAGGTTTAGAAGATGGAATTTGGGGATTTCTTTGTTTATTAGGGAAATTGGTACCATTCGTGCATTGTCTTTGAACCATTCATGCATGGAAATTGGAAAGTTATTTGAACTTTAACTTGATGCACGTAGTTTAGTCTTATCATATTTGATTCGGTTAGGTGACAAAAGAGCTGATCAGCCTAGTCTAGTGATTGCATATTTAGCCCTCTGCCAATAAAGAGATACAAAAATCAAGTTCTTTCTATATCCATGGTATATTCAATTGTTCTTGACTCATTTCCTCTGTTGCGAATAATATGCCATGCAGATGTACAAGGCTCAAGGGAATGTAGTTCTTTGTGCTTCAGCATGTCTGCTTTACTGGTACGTCGGCCAGATATGAAATGCCCACTTCTTTTTGTTTTTAATTCATAAAAGAGAAAAGGAAGAAGGTAAACTTAAGGCCTCTGATATATGTCTTGTCATTTGATAGCAATCTACAAATTTTGGGCGCAGGTGTCTATTTCGCATCTGTAAATTGTACAAGGACATTCAGAACTTGGAGGAAGTGGAGAAGAGGTACAAGGACGAGTAGGTTTTCGGATATAGGCCCTTCGTTGGCAGTGGAAACAACCGAGTTAATATTTTTTTCATCATAAATGAGAAACCGATGCTGCTTTTAGTAATACTGTAATGTCTTGAATTTGTTTGTGTAATTTGTAGCCGTCTAGTATGTTGATACATTGTTCGTGTAGCTGAAATATACTTTGTTTTCCACATTACATGAAAACTATGGCATTGATCGTTTGTTTGAGTATATGAATTCTAATCTCCCTCGATTCGTGAGCATGACGGGGCAGTAGGAACAGGCGGCGCCCCGTCTAGCTCAGTTAGAATTTTTAAATTTCGTTGATGGAACCATCAGATGCATTTCGGCATGGTCATTGTTTCGTCGGCGTATGTTATGCTGCAAGTTTCGTTTACACTTCGTGGCAGAGAAGTCAAATAATTCAATTGAAATGTTCAAACGAGGTCTTCCAACGTACGTAGACTTGGTTGTCACACAGAGGCTGCATTGACCCATGAAACACGCTTTAATTTCTTGAAAATTGGCCAAATTTGTTGGGTTAATCACTATAATTGCTATATCGTCATTCTATGATGGTTGTCAATACTTAATCGATACGATATTTTATTCTGACCAATTTAACAATTAAGATTTGATTTAAAATTTGCACAACATTCAAAATTAATGGAGGACATTGTATTATGCATAGGCTTATAAGTTTATAACATTTTACTTATGCAAAAGATCTTGTGAATAACCACCAATTTTGTTTTTCACAAACACTTCACTATAATTCAAGGTTTTTATCAAAACCCTCACAAAGACTATTTTGTATCATTTTCGCCGTACCATCAGCTTTCCAATGACTTATAATACTTCATCTTATTAAATAATCATAGTTTTTTTACAGATATGTCTGCTGCTTGATAATGTTTTCTTTGGCAACTATTTTGCTCCAATTTTTTATTATTTAGTATATTTACTGAGCAAATGATATCTTTTACGAGATTTATGTTAATTGAGAAAATAATATATTTAGCGAGATTTTGTGAGCTCTTCATGTCTTTAAGAATGTGTTGCATGGGGAGGAGGGCGGACTCATGTGCAGAATTCCCACTCGGGGGAGAGGAAAAGCTAAAACACTAACAGCCTACAAGTTGAAAAGATTGAAAACACATTACAATTGTGCAGTACATCATTGACATCCTCGTCGTTCCCAACTCACATCATAGAAAGTGTTGCAATCTTCTTTCTTTTGGTAGGTATGAAACCATGTCCTTATTATCCAAACGAGTTTTGGTTTAGTTTAAACAGGTGCATAAAAAATCAGCTTCATCAGTCGGCGCCAACAACTAGACACACAAAAAGGATGTGTTTCGAGTTTCTTTTTTGCACAAGAGGTGACTTAAATTGATATAAACATGACCCGCTGATATAACATCTTAAATGAATAACACATGTTTTGAACGGATTTTAAAATGACTAAAAGTGTTTTTGGCAATCGAAAAATATGTGGCCAAAAACTTATTAGCATTTCTAAGTCGTACAAGCACTTTTGTGGAGAAGTGTTTCTCCAGTAAGCACTTGAACTCTCAATGTAGAACTGTAATATTTATTTATTAAAGAGATAAATGCTAAGGAGACTTTTAAAAATGGGGCTCTCTATCATCCCATGTTTTTTTACTTAAGTTTTACAATGTTGGAACGGAAATACCATTAAATTGTGAGGTAGCAGAGAATCTATGGAGTGTCCTACTTTAAGAGTCTCTTTAGTATTTCGATATTACAAAAGTCCTTTCAAAAGGGCTAACCAGCATGTGTTTCAGAAACAATAATCATTGATATAATACTGTGACATGTGAAAAGAAGAGATTGAAACTCTGTTTTACTTTCCAATTCAACTGGCAGCATTGCATTAACAAATCTGGAGAATAAATTAATCAATGTTTACCATTTCAAAAGCTCATCAATTGATGGAACTAAAACTAAGAACTAATTAACACAAAGAATATGTATGTTTTCTTTTGAAAACGTTCATCAAAACGACCTTCTAATACTCTTAAAATCGACGGACTCTATGCATTCCAATCCAGCTCTGTAAGGATTCAAGAGCTTCAGAAGCTCGTTCGTCTTCTCCTTCGTGTGATCATCCCCGCAACGAACCTGTAAAACCAACAAGAGCTTCTGAAATGTACCGACTTGAAGGGCCTCAACCAGCACTCTTTCTTCTTGCCTGCTTGCACATTTACACAGCTTCCAAATCGCTGAAATCGAATACTCAGTTGCCATTTCCGATATTCTCAAAATTTTCTTCACTAAAACTGGTATAGTTAGCGCATCAGCATACGCCTTTTCCCTCCCTTCTTTGCAATCACAAAGACTGTCGATAACCGCCAATGCCCTCTCGCTTACGCCCCTTTCCGAGTCCACAAGCATTTCCAGCAATACCGAAACCAATCCCATCTTCAAAAATGCTAGCTTGATATTTTCACCGGCGGAAGAAGATGATGAAACCAAGTACCAAACTACCATCAGAGATGCCTTGGTAATCGCCGGTGAAATTTTCTCTCTGATGAGCTCGAAAAGAATGTCATTCACCCCACCAATCTCCGCCAACGCTTCAACATGTTTGGTGCGATCATCGCAAGAAAGAAGCTCTTTCAATGCTAGAATGGAGTTTTGCTTCACCGAAAGATCATCGCTTTCCTTGAGAAACCAAACCATGCAATGCAACGATGCCTTGGATCCCAAGTGTGTGTGTGACTCTTCATCGAAAGCCGGAAGCATCCAACTCAGCGCAGACAGTAATTCTTCACACACAATTGCATTTCTCCTTTCGCAATCGCTTGCGAAAGAATCAAAGGCTGCAGCGAGTACAGATGCAGCCCCATTCTCCAATATACAGCGCTTGTTTCGCTCGCTCCCAGCCGCCCATTTCTTGATTCTGCGCACACATTCGACGCACCCTTGGTGATCCAAACGTCGAGCTGAGCCCGCTAAACTGAAAAGAATCTCGGAGACCTCAATTGGCATGATGGGAACTCGCGGCGTTGGAACACGTTCAATTCCATAGCGCTTGTTTTCGGTGCACCATTCTTGAATCATTTTTCTGAGACTATGGTTGGGAATCTGATCAAAGCTTCTCAACACCTGATTTGTCACAGGGCAAGTGAAGTTCCCGCCTTCGAGCCACATGTCGATGCTCTGTCTATCATAGGTTATTCCGGATGACAATGTGACCGGATCCTTCATCAAGTCAAGCGATATCGGGCAGAGGAAATGGTTCGGGATCAGGGCTTCCATGTCGAGGTCCCCCGGCTGGTTTTTCGCCGCACGGTGGCCGGTTCTCCTCCTTCCCCAGCCTAAAACCATTGGTACAAGCTAGTTCACTCACACAACAGAAGTTATAGGTTAAAGACGAAAATTCAGAAAACTAGAGAAGTTGTTTCTTTTGGTTTTGTTGGTGTTGGTTTTTTTGGTTGTGGAAAAAATAGGAGGAAGGAGATGGAGTTTATATACCAAAATTTGTTGTCCAAACTACAAGTTTGAGGCCTTCACACGCGGCGTTCAAAGTATGAGAAGTGGGAAAGAATTGAATAAGAAAGAAAGGAAATTCAAGATGTAGGGGGAGGAATAGGTTTTCCATTTTTCTCTTTTTAAGTAATAGTATTTGAATGTTGACCGTTGAAGCTTTGAATGTTTTTAAACCTTAAATCGTCAAAGGAGGAAGCGGTAAAAGTATACTCCTCACGGGATCCAACTGTACCAAGCAAACGAATTATTTGTTCTCTTTTCTTCTTTGTTTTTTCCCTTAGAATACAGGATAATGTATGATTGAGTTTAGTCAAGTTCGACTCTTTTTTTTTTTTTTATGATTCAAATGAATTTAGTGTAATTATTCTATTATTTGTTTTAGAAAAGTTAACGAACAAGACATGTAAACAGTCCTACTAATTAGATGGTTAGCAATCTCACGAGGGAACGAACTCCTCGTTCCACTGGACCTCACATAAGTACAATTCTCAATGCACATCCTTTGTGAGAATTGTTGGTCTGGCTACCCTATAGAAAAGCCTTCTCCCAACAAAACTTCTCCGACCGAAATTTTTCTCCAAACAAAGACTGACCGAAAGAAAAATACTAACACAATAACATATTTTGTTGTAAGTAAGTTTCTCTCTTCTCGAGATCCCATCTATTACAAAAACGATCAAGTTGGGCAATAAATATGGTAATAACTAGAATTATTGGTTATTATTCTATTCATTTTTTAGTCTTTATTTAGGTCTATGTTTTCTTTGTAATCGGATGTAAAGCAACACAAAGTCGGTCAGCTTAACTGTGTAAGAACGAGTCCTCCTAGCCTAACTAGGTTCCTCAATATCAGGCTAAGGTATCAGCTGTCTTCTTCACAGCAGTTTTGACTTTGACAGAGTCATAGGCCATTCAATTTCAAACTCCCACGCCATAAAATTTAAATAAAAAAATTAAACCCGGTTAATTCGAATCTTGAAGATCCTACAATCACGTTCGTCGATCGTACATCGTGCGATCAGAATTTTTTTTATTTTTTTATTTAAAATTAAATATAAATAGTACTTGACGAAAACTGACCGCACAATATACGATTAACAGATGTAATTAAAGGATTCTCGTGATCCTCACAAAGAGGCCTCATTCAATTCGAAATAAGCAAATAGAAATTTTAACCTAAAAAACAGAAAACCTTACGAAAGTGGCTTTTTATTCACTTTTGAATTTACTGTACAGAAAAATACCACTCCTTTAAAAATGAGCTTATGTTACAAATCAATTTTTAATCCTGTACATAACCAGCAACACTGTCAATGAACCTTGAAACCAAATCCGGCCTACGTTGGCCTACGTTGAAAACAAGTCCGGCCTGAGAAAGGAGGAGGAAAAGAACAAAGAGAGAAAGAAATGCAGCCGAACTGTCTTCGCTACTCATCCTTCCATCAGTTGAACAAACGGCAGCACGTAGCCCCCCATGTTCGTTGGAGCAGTTTCGGTGTTTCCCCAGTGACAAGTTCAAGCCTTCCAACTTTTCACTTCACATGGTGCTCACCTGCAGAGCCACGGAGAAGCGTGGTCTATTCCTCCCTGACATATGGAGAAGAACTCATCTCCGTGCTGTAAAATGAGTCGTCCCCATTTACTGCAAAGAAATTATCATTCTTTTCTTCATCCCACTTGAGGACCTCCCGTACGTACTTGAATGCCTCGTCAACTGAGGCAGCCTCCCGAGCTCGGGTCTGCGCCACAACAACTTTTCGCCGCTTATGGATGAATACAGCTCTTTGAATTTCACCGCCACGTAATAATATGCTTGCTGTGCCAGAGACTGACTATTACCATGAAGCCTAACAGGTCTGAAGTCCTTTAGCCACTCGCAGGCAGACAACGGAACCTGGTTTATCTTGCCTTCAAAGGCATCGTATTTGTTCAGAAAGAGCACAAACGGAGTGTCTCTGAAACAAGGGTGCCGTACCAAACTCTCAAACAAATCTCTGCTTGCCAGCAATTTATTACGAAGAAGACCATTACCGTGGGCCCACATTTGATCATAGTCGCTCAACACAACACAAAAAATCACTGCCCTCACATCTGCAAACATTTCCAGCCATTTGCAACCATCACTCAGTCCCTTGGAATTAATGCGAATTAGTTGATACCTGAGACAATAAAATCCAGTGAGCAACAGACTGATGGTCTCATTGGAAACAGAAAAAAAGATACAGTATGAGGACAAGATGGGAAGCTCGACTGACGATGAAAGAATGAAGGTATTACTTAGTCAAGGGAAGGGAACATTCATAGTTTTCATTGTATGGCTCAGACGTGGCACTTCTGTCATCAAATGAAAATTCCATAGAGGCAAGCCCATTGCTCTGTGTAACGCCCTCAGCATATAAAATGTCTTTCTCGGACGGCTCATACTCGTTACTTGATATTTCTATAGCCTGTTAGAAATGAAACACCAAACGTGCATAAGAATAAAACATGAATATTGCAAATTTAGTTTAGCTAGCGACAAAGCATCCAAGCCTGCTTAAAATGTCACCCATATCAACCAATTAAACCATATTCTATCCAAACATAGTCTTAATATTAATTCAAAGTAAATGTGAATGATCATAAACTAAATATGAAAATTCCATAAAAGGAATACTATCAATTCTGTGATTAACAAACTTTGATCTTCCAAATAAAGTTTTAACAGGCATGCAATTTGGAGCCAAAAGAGTAAGGCAAAAATGAGTAATGACTAACCCGATCTAAGAAATATTTGGCAACTTCAGGAAGGCAGTCTAGTTCCTCCCTCCTTTTGTATGTTTCCTGGATGGCAGAATCTCTCCACACTTCATCCACAATAGGAGCATACTCACGTGTCGCAGCAGGAAAGAATGCATCCAAGTCTCCAGTTGCCATGATATCCAGTAACCAGTCAGAAAAGTGCTTGAACCTTTGGTTGATTGCATAGATGCATTGCTCACTTTCATCAACTACTGTTTCACATAAATTCATTTCACAGTCAACCACTGACTTAAGGTTCATTCATGCCTACAAGCAGAGAACCAAATAAGCAAAATATTCTCTCTTAAGATGTAAACATTTTCCTCTTCAACCAGTATAACATTTCTTCAATATTAATAACAAGGGGACAATCATGAGTTTAAATTATGTTGGACATAAGATGAAACCAATAGGGGAAGCATTTTTTCCTTTTCGGACAGACAAAAAAATGATATGCCAACGCCACTGTTCTACTTGATTCTAACAAACTAGGTCTAGGTCGTACCCAGTGCACAAGGCTCCCGCTTTACGCAGGGTCTGGGAGAGGTGAATGTCGGCTAGCCTTACCCCCATTTATGGAGAGGCTGCTCCCAAGTCTCGAACCCGAGACCTACCGCTCATGGGCGAAGGCACTTGCCATCGCACCAAGTGCGACCTCTACTTGATTCTAACAAACAAACAAACAAAATTTGACCAACAGCAGCAGCAGAGAATCAGACTAAGAGAAGGTTGACCCATCTATCAATAAAAAAAACTACCAGCCCTGTCAAGGTAGCTGTATTTGAAGTAGTATTTAACGCAAAAACAAATCAGACATGACCACCATAATGCAATGTATCTATGTTAGAAACAACTACAACAATCATGGATCTAGAGTTTTGTTGCAAAGATGGACATGGACATAGCAAGCAGCTACCGTATTTTTGTAAACAGAAAAAGTAAAAGGTCATGTTGACCTGAAGGGGACTCATGAGCAGCCAACAAAGATATCCTATTCTCTGTCAATGCTTCCTCTTCAAAACGTTCTCGGCCCTCAAGTAATATACTTAGATACTTATACATATTGCTCTGAATCATGAGTTTGATGTTCTGCAGCTCTTCGGAAGTGAACTTGTTCCCGTATAAGAGCTTAGCCTGTTCCATGGGTAAAAGAAGGATGACATAAGCATTTTTAAGATGTACTGTCCAAGAAATAAAGCTTTCAAAGTTCTGATACCAAAAAAAAGCGAATGAAATAATAAACAGCAAAAACAAAAGCACCAAGCCCTAGGGGCTTTTCGCTAACCGGTCTTCAAGGTATCATGCAGTTTGATTATCCACAAAAGGTAAGTTAATACATTAAATGGACTCCAATCCTATTTTAATATCCCTGTTTTCCCTTGGTTTTGAATCTAAATCATTCACACAAAACCTAATGACTCACAATGCTACATGTCAGCACATCTATGTTAAATGTTTAAATTAATGTTTTCCAAGGTGAATGCCCACATTTACCATACTTGCAATATATCAGTGACTGAGCTAATTGGATTTCCCCTGCTTCTAATAATGTTCTTGATCCATTAAAACATGCAGCATCTTGGCTACTTCCATGGTTTTACCATACTTGCTAAATTTCTAGACTCCTAGTTGGGGTTGTTCAGTCAAAAAGAGCCAATGGTTTCAGTGAAAGATTGCAAACCATGTAATGACATATGGGAAGATAAGGTAAGTTCACTATCATGGTAAAGGAAACACATTTTAATTGTCAACTGATGAAATATGTCACGAGTCAAATTGAAAACAAGGTAAATGCAACTACTAACATCTTTGCATTTAGCGAAAGCAGTTTTAAATATTTTATAGTTGCATAACTGTAAACCAATGAGGAACCAGACACCGGATAGAGCAAGTCTATTCAAGTCTTGCTTGACTAGATCAGACACTAGGAAACACGTAAACTCAAAAAGACGTGTACCATGCAAGGCACCCTGAAGAGAAGGGGGGCAATACCTGCTTGAAGATGGTGCTAGTTCCAGATCCCTCCAAGCCAAATAACAGAAGTTTCTGAACTCTTCCCTGTTCCCAGAATTCCCGGACTGACCTGCTTGAAGGTGTCATCGGATCTTCTTGTGCCCCATTTTGATTACCAGGTGGTACAGGCAATGAGAATAATGAACAAATGAAACGAGTGGATGCCTGCCTACCAAAAACCAAACTGCAAGAGAATAAAAATTCGACTCACAAT